CAGGCAGCACAGCCCCTGCCCCAGCACACAGCCCCTCAGCTGCAGGACCCTGCTCTGACAACAGCCCTGGGCACCCCTGCCTGCACCCCTGCCTTCACCAAGATCCAAAAGGGCACAACAAGAGCCACCCACACCAAACCCTGACACCCCTCACAGACCCATGTGTTGTGGTGAGCGAGAGTCAGACACACGATGCTCATAGAGTTATGGTGAATGCTCCGTTTTATTGTTAGGTACATCAGTATATATAGGTTTATTACAAAGATCATTACGTCTTCAATATGCTAACTGATTGGTTAGTAATTACCTATTGCTCACGCGTTATGACGAGCTATAACTTTGATACTTTAGGCGCTATAGTAAGTTACTATTTGGATACTTCTTCTGCTAAACCTGCATCTTGTTGAATATGGTCTTCTTTGTGGTCTTTGTGGCATCAGCATCTCTAACTGGTCCTGCTTCAGTTCCTTCTTTGTATTCTGCTGTTACAAAGTTCCTTTAACCTGTTACTAAAGTGTCCTTTTCTCCTGTTTCTTGCTCGTACAGCTCTTCTGTTCCCTGCACGAACAGCTCTAGTATTTTTCCATGTCCATTGCTGTACAGAAATTCATCCACATATGATAAATACAGCAGTATGCCTGTGTCTTTGTAATACTGGGGAACTCTCACCTCTCAACTCATCTTTTCAACTACTAGTATATTTTTGCTAATGAAGCTGCCACATGTAGTTGTGTGGCTTCCCTGGTGCCTTCTATTTTCATGCCTATTTCCTTTCACGACTGAGCCCCATGTAGCTTTAGCCAGTCAACTGTTCCTTCTCTTGACCAGCTGCTGCTGTTTCTGCTGGCCTCCTGCCTCAACAACAGCCCCCCTGGTCCCAGCTGCATCCTGCTGTGGGACAGCAGCCTGGCAGCAGGCATTCCTAAACAGCAGATATTCCTAAACAGTGAGGTCCTCAGTGCACAGGTCATCCAGTTTGGTATTCTATCAGTAGAAGGTGTTTGAAAACAGAATATTTCCCTGTGTTAGCTGAGCCGTGGAACACTGTGGGTTAAAGGAAGTTTCACTTCAAGCACTGGCCAACAGTTATCAATATAATTGCTGTTATCCTCAAAACTGATCTTAAAATTATAACTAGTATATGATAAATATGCACTGGATTATATCTACTTGTATAATGCAATCATCCTGCTCTCCAGTGCATTTTGCTAATGCAATGGCAATGGGGGTTTTCCATCTGCTTTTGCAGACTCACTGAAGGGCAGTCTCTCAGCCTGAGAGGGAAGCTATTACGTTTATTGGTGTCCCACTCTCTATTCTCAGCTTAGTAGCAGCATCATTTGGCTTTGTGCCACTGCTATGCATAAGCTCATCTGTACAGTTTGAATTCTGGCTTCTGGTTTACTACAGGATTTCAAGCTGGTGCTGGTTAGATCAGTTTTTAACAAAGTCTTCTTGATGTAACCTGTGAACCTAGCTCTTCCTGTGTGTGAGAGGGGTGAGAGCAGCAGAAAGCTTTGGCTGGTTGCCTGGCTGGGTTGACGGAGAGGTCATTAGCCATAACTGGTAGTGCAAGTGGCTAGAGGTGACTGCCCCTAACCTGTCATTTGTGCAGAATTGCACTTCTGCTGCATCCATCATGCATAGCTCCAGGGTTGTTAGGAGCATGCTTGTATAAACCTCTGTAATTAAATTGTCAGCATTTGAAATTTCAGTAGGTTTATCTTGCTGAGGGGGGCTTCTTCTGTGTCCTCTGTAAGTACAGACTTCTCTTTTCTAAACAAGATACATCTTAATCTTCCTGTTGCTTTTAAATTATCTTGTTGCCGCTATGTTCTCTTGATTATAGAGGAAGAGAGCTGGAGAAAAGATGCTACCTGCTGTACCTTCTCTTGCATGAAAACTACTTTTTCCACTCCGAGCTTCAAGAGAATGAAGTATGTTCTTTGTCTTGGCTTTTTGGGGGTACACTTTGGTTACTTTTTATACTCTGCTATAAACAGAAGTTTGGGGTTGTTTTTGTGGTGTGTGGTAGGATTTTTTTCTTTTTGCTATGCCTCATTTATTCTCTGGTTATTTATTAGCTGTCAACTTAGTTTAGCATCTGGAGAAACAGATTTGTGGTTGCTGAGTAAGGGTCACAGGGAGCACAACTTGCATTGGGTACTGACTTATCAAGAAAAGCATCAAACATCTGTCTTCATCTTGCAGTTGTCTGGAATGAGGATTAAATTGCAGATCATCCTAAAGTGACAGGGGAGTCTTTAGTAAGTGGTTATACATTTTTTCACTTACCAGACCAAAACAAATTTGACTGTTCTTACATGTTCTTTCCACAGAACTGTGGCCTTATTCTTAGTACCCTGTGAAAGGACTGGTGTTCAGTTAAAACCTTGTGCTTCTTCAGCCTCCTTGCATGCCCCTTCCATTAGGTTACAATTTTTTTTTTTTAATTGCTTTTGGTGCATGTTTAAGCTGATGCCCTTACTGAGAGTTTTCTGTTTGGATTTTATCTAGGCTGTCTGACCAATTTTTACATTCCTGAATCTTGGGTCTCTGATTTTTTTTACCTTTCTCTTTGGTTTTGTGAAAAATGGCAAATGCTCACAAAAGGCATATAGCTGGCTTTTTTTTTTTTTTTTTTTTTTTTTGTGCATGTCATCCAAATGTTAGTTGCGAAGTTTGCAGAGTATGAAGGAGATTATGCAACAATCATTGTTTGCTTGCTTAGAGTCACCAGGCAAAAAGGTGCATCCTTGCTGGAGCCGTAAAATATTACAGCAAACATCACTGTTTCAGCTCAGTTATGACCATGTTTTCAGCAGTCATTATTTGCCAGCAATCTATCTACTTGGTTCTGCCCTTAGGCAGGTGAAATGTGCTTGTGTCCTGGTGTTTAGCTTCTCATTGCACCTCAGCATTTATGTGTCAGAGGTGTGAATGAGGGTGAGAAGGATAAAACGTGAAGCAGAGTATTTTGCTTGTCACTTCAGGCTTATATCAGGTTTTATTAATCCATCAGTAGTTTTGATGTGCTCAGGGCCTCTCTTCCTCTGCAGGGAACGTAGTAAAGATTCACTGCATAATGTTTATGGTGTATGTATGCTTGTAAGGTTCGTGTGCTATACCTCGTGTTAGAAATGAAATGTAGTGTTGATTTTTGCATTTTAGTGTTTGGTTTATATACATATCCTAGTGTTAGAAATATATCGTTTGTTTGAGATAAGTGAGATATCTGCACATTTTAAGGACACCAGGAGTGGTTTGCGGCCCAAGAAACTGAGGGAGTGAATTGGGCTCCATCTGGGGATCCAAACATGGAGCAGGATTTATGGCGAAGATCAGACCTAACAAAGCCACTTCTGTGTTGCTGCTCAGGGCAGGATGACACCAGTAGATTTGTTAATTGGGAAGACAGCCAAGGGGGTAAGAAAGGTCAAAATTTTACCTTAAAAGGTAAAAAGTAAACTGCTAGAATGGAATGTGTAAACAGGGGCGGGTAACTTACAGGGTGGCTGTGAACCTGGAACTACCCAGCCAGTGGGGAAACAGGGGAGGGAACTTTGCGTTGGGAATAGGGAATATAAACCGTTATTCACCTTCCTATGGGTGTGCCTGCTTGTTGGGGTCAGCCATTCTTGCAAGAATGTAAATAAACTGCTTCGTTGAAGGATCTGTGTGGGCCTGTTCATTGGTGCGACAAACGTTTCTCACACCCGGATAATGGATGCCTTTGGAACTAGAAGGTTAGGTGTGGGAGTGGGAACTCAGCCTCTCGGATTTTTGGCTCTCTTGCAGGACTCATAGTGGGAGTGATCTTGAGGTACGGGACCCCCTCAAGCAGCGGCCACGACAAGCCCTTCAGCTGCTCGCAGGAGGACAGGCCCTTCACCACCCTGCTGGTCAACGTCAGCGGGAAGTTCTTTGAGTACACCCTCAAAGGGGAGATCAGCCCCGGGAAGATCCACAACGTGGAGCAGAATGACATGTTGCGAAAGGTAAGGGGAGACTATTTCTTGCCCTCAGCTGAGCGGTATCACCTTGATCTATCCTTCCCTCCCACCTTCCCCCTCCAGCTCATTCGAGCACCAGGTGCTATCAAGTGTCTGCTTTCCTGATGGTGACAGCACTTCAGTGCTAAATTCAAAAGCACCTTCTGCAATATATCTCTGATGGCAAAACTGTGCCCTGCTGCATGTATGTAGTGCTTTGCCAAAGCCCCCTGATTGCTGTTTGGAGGCTTAAAGTGTGTTTCTAACATCTGTAGAATTCATAAAGATGAGCTGAACAAAAAAAAGTTGATGCTGCCTTGTATAAAACAAGGTAAGGTAAAAGATAATTTCTGTGTGAAAAGTGATTGCTTCTTAGTGTCTGTTTACCTAGGGTTTTTTGATTTGTTTATTGTCAGGAAACAGTTCCTTTTTACATCCCTATATATATGTCTATTTCTAATTGAAATTTCCTATTTTATTTTTTAGGTAACGTTTGACCCAGAAGTTTTTTTCAACATACTGTTGCCTCCTATTATTTTTCATGCTGGTTATAGCCTGAAGAAAGTAAGTGTAATTTCTGAAAATAGTTTAAAAAAAAATAAAATGAAACTACTGCTTTGTTCTGGAGTGCAGTGTCCATTTCAAGCATTACTTTTTTTTTATGGCAGTAAGAAAAATATAATTTCCTCCATAGATGACTAGGTCATATTGTTTTAAGAGAAAATACATTTGCTTTTCACTATTAAACTCTTTAATCTTGCTCATTTGTTTTCCTTTGGACTTTGCCAGAGGTTAATGTCAGTTTCATTGAAAGTAAAACATTTCTTGCAATGAATTGTTTTGGTCCTTCTCAAATACCCAAAATGTGGTAAATTATGTTGAGAAGTGGATCTGTACCTGAATTCAGTGGGGATGTGCCAGACATCCCCACATGGCAGAGGAGTCTAGATTTTGCTCTCACTTGAAGAGGTCATGAACTAGTGCTGGCTTTCAGTTTTGCAGCCAACTCTTACACCTCTTATCAAAATATCTATGGAAAGCTTCCTCTCAATAAGCTACATGTGGGATTTATTACATGATTCAGATTTGGTTTATTAAATTTATTGAAGCTGGACAAAATTTACACTACAGTGATTGGAGCACTTCTCTGAGATGATAAACTGTTTCTCTGTGTTGATGCAAGTGTGGTAGTGTGCTGTATGTTTTTGGATAGGTGATATAGCTTGTTTCTAATAAGTATATCAACCTCTCTTTTCCTGTGCAGAGACACTTTTTCAGGAATTTGGGATCCATTTTGGCTTATGCCTTTTTAGGAACAGCTGTCTCTTGTTTTATTATTGGGTAAGTGAACTTTGTGATATCAGTTCCTTTCTATACTAAAGTTTAAGTTGATAGAGTGTATGTTGAGCCTTCCAGATTGCTTCAGACTTTTAATTTGTTTAAGTACTTTATTTGTGTATTCTCCAGACAAAAGGCAAATGTATCTTTTGCTGTGATTTATTCCACTTCTGAATAATACTGTCTCTTGAAATGATACTGTCAAGATTGAATCACTTGACAAGTCCACAGTACTGAAGAGTGTCATCAAGTTTTTGATGTAATAGTCCAGTCCAAAACTAAATACCTTCTTAGACTTTTACTGGAATTGAATTTACCTTGTATTGTGGGCAGTAATTGTAATAGAATTTTAGCTATCCAACTTCTAGAGATATCCTTTCATTGCCCAATTGCATGCACATGCTCTCTTTCTCTGAATATGTGTGTATATATACATAATGTTATGAGTATATGTACATTCACATTTAGCTGGAGAGAGCTAGTCATGTTGGTTTATCTGCATACAGTCTCTTATGCTGCTAATATTACTGTCTGGTTATATGCATATTCTGAAATACAGAAATCCTGAATTGCATAGGTGACCTCTCTTAGTATCTCAAAGAATTTAATGAGAGATGCTTTCAAGGCTCTTTTTGGCTCAGAGCTTTTGGTTGGTGAACTGTGTCAGGAGAAGCAATACTAAGGTGAGTTTTCAGTGGGGAAAAGTTCACACTGGTAGAAGAATGAAACAACCTGTAGATTCTATGTGCTAGTTGTGTAAACAGTTTTTGTCCTTTGCTTACTGGTTTTAAATGATACCTTCTGGCTTATGTATCACTTGACTCAGCTCATGGGTTTGAGGGTTTAGTGTCAAACTGTGGCAGTGTTCCACAGAGCTGTAGCATAACCAAGGCTACCTGAAATATTGTTGCTTGTGCTTTTTCCTTTGCCTGTCAAAAATGCACCATCTTGTTTGACTGGGACTGTTTTATCGTCTTTCTTTTCAGGAATCTCATGTATGGGGTTGTGAAACTAATGAAGCTGGTGGGTCAGCTCTCTGATAAATTCTATTATACAGACTGTCTCCTCTTTGGTGCAATAATATCTGCCACTGATCCAGGTAACTTGCTGAACATTTAAAAAAAAAAACAAACAACCACTTTTCAAAACAATCCCATTTCTGGGATTTTTGGCTGCATAGCATGAAGATATTAAGAGCACTTTATTTTCAGTTCTGTTGTGCTAATGTCTCTGATTCTCTGAATTGCATAAAAAGGTTGAGCATTTTAAAAGCTGTTCTCTGTTGGTTTGGTGATGGACTGGTATGACTGGTATGATGATATGTTTGGGGAAAAATGTAACTTTCCTGTTGAGATAGTTTTTTTTTTTCCCCAATAGTTTTGTTTGTTTGTTTGTTTTGTGCATCAAGTTTAAGACTGCAAATAGATCAAATTTCACATTGTCTTGACAGCAGGACTTCCTTCTTTAGCTGTATTGCTTGGGACATTGAATGATTTCAGAGCAATATTTGAAGCTTTTAGGTGTGGGGATTTTTTTAATCTTTCAAATGAACTTCATCTTTTACGAGCTTAAGCAGAAGAATGCTTTTCTGGGAAAGAAATTTGTTCTTCTGCCAAAATAATCTAGTTATCCTTCAAAAGGCCAGCAGGCTCACGTAGGTGTCTCTGCTTGACAGGTCAGTCTGGAGAGCTGGTGTGTATCAGGGGCCAGGGTAAGGAGTGGTGAAGTATGAAGCTTGACACTCTAAAATAGCTAATGTGAGGTGCTCAGTGGTGGTTTGTGCAAAAATGGGAAGTAGCTCCTGTGATTGAGCTGAGCTTGAACAGCTGGTAGTTACACACCATTTATGCAAAAAATCACCATGTGATTTATGGTTTTTAAGCTCGTATATGGTAATATCTTCAATATCATGGTCTTTCATCTCAGAAACATCCTTTCAAGAAACTTCAGTTTAAATATTTAGCAGTCTTCCCCTTTTCATATTTGGCACAAATGCACACTCCTGTGACGTAGTGTATGCTTTGGGGAACGCTTAGGATTATTAGCACTGTTTTGTAATGGCTGAAGTAATAAAGCTATGTCAACAATCCATGCAGTCTTTAAAAGTAGTAAGATCTGCACAGCATTTTGTGGATTATCACCTATGGAATCTTCTACAAAAAAACATGAGAGCTTTGGTAGAAATGCTTTGCCCCGTGCCCCTTGGTTATGGGGCCCTTCCTATAACCACTGTGCAGATGGGAGGACAGCAGAGCCACCTCCTAAAATTGATAGGTAAACAGGACTAGTCCGTTTCCCTGTTTAATTTTGATCCCGTACTTCAATTCCTGGGTTTTGTTGCTTTAGGCAAACTGGAATGTCTGCTCTGTCTGCTCATGCAGTCTTTCCTGAAGTCAGCCAGTGTGTTTTTTCTCTTTTCTTTCTATAGTTACCGTGCTAGCAATATTTAATGAGCTGCATGCTGATGTTGATCTCTATGCCCTTCTGTTTGGGGAAAGTGTGTTGAATGACGCTGTTGCCATTGTTTTATCTTCGTAAGTAACCACCTGAATTTCTACTCTGCAAGGACTCAATTACTTTTGGTATTTGTCTAAAAGAAATGCCTTTTTTTTTTTTTTTTTCCTGAGAAAAGTTATTTTAAATGCAAATGGCTTGTCTTGTAGTGAATTAATAAACATTGCCCGCATTTGCTAAGATCTCTCGTACACACATAAGCAAGAAAGGCAAATTTGCCTTCAGCCTGGGATTGCCTCTTCTGTTGTGCAGATTTTGTTTTTACAGAATAAGACTTTGGTGATGCCACTTCTAGCTTCTCATTGTGTTACTCTCTTTCCAGATCTATAGTTGCCTATCAGCCAACAGGTGAAAATACCCATGCTTTTGATGCAGCAGCATTTTTCAAATCTGTTGGTGTTTTCCTGGGAATATTCAGTGGTTCTTTCATGATGGGAGCAGTGACAGGGGTTGTGACAGCTCTGATATCCTTTTTCATGTTTCACTTTTCCAACCTAGATGCCACATTCAGGTATTAACAGGGCTCTTACGCTTCCAACTAGAGCAGAATTGGCTCTGGCTTGTAATCTGAGTGTGAAGATGCGATCAGTATTTCTTGGGCCTTTGTCTATAGAAAGGCATTATAGATACCCACAAAAATCAGCTTTTTTTTTTTTCAATGTGACTGTGGCCACACTAAATAGAAGTTTTAATGATGTTTCTGTATGCTGGAAGCCAAGGGGAGGCCCTGAATGTACATGTCCTAATGTTCAGTTTCTTTTTATGAAATTAAGAAAACAGCTTAGGCTTAGGCTTGAAAGGCATCTTGTGTGATAAGTGGTGTTTGATTCTGTCTTCAAGCAAGATCACTAATAGTTCTTTCTGACCCTAGGAGGTTGTCAGGGTCATGTATTTAAACTTTCTGCTGGAAATCTGATGTTGGCCATCTTGGATAAGGTTGTATGTCTACCAGAGTTAACATCATAACATTATGTGCTTTGCATGATCTGTCAGGTTCTCTTGGAGCCTACTGCTGTTATTTGATTAGAGTTCTTAGGGGCTTGGCAAGCAGTCTATGAGGGTTTTGATTTAAGCTTAGGCTGCAGACCTTAGGCTTGACCTGCTCCAGTAATCTTTGTGCTTCTTCAAAGAAAAAGTTAAAATTCTTTGCTTTAAGACTGCCAAGCATAACTGTGTTTGTGCATATTCCAGATTGCTTTGATCTGCCTAGACTTCTGAACACTGACCTAAAAGGGGTAAAATGTGAGATTTGGAACAACAATCATGAACCTGTGGCTCTTAATCAATGTCTGAACCATATCTTGGTTATATACACTCTGTGCAGATTTGTCTGATATGCCTGCATAATGAAACCCTTTGGGTATAAGGGAGAAGATGTGCTATAGGTGCTTTAGTGTTCTGTCTTCCAGTTCCACTCATCTGCAATAAGATGTGACCCAGAACCATGTTTCTTCATCTGGCTTTTAGAGTATCAGATGTAGAGAAGCAACTGTGTGGGGAATTAACAGCTGCTTAAAAAAACACTTAAGTTTGATATTTGTTTCCATTTGCTTTATATAAGGCTCCAGGGAGACCTTGTAAAGGCCTACAAGAAAGCTGGGGAGGGACTTTTTACAAGGGCATGTAGTGATAAGACAAGTAATAATGGCTTTAAACTGAAAAATTGAGGTTAGACTTTAGGAAAAAATTGTTTATTGTGAGGATGGTGAGACACTGGCACAGGTTGCCCAGGGAAGTTGTAGGTGCCCCCTCCCTGGAAGTGTTCAAGTGCAGGTTGGATGGGGCTCTGAGCAACCTGGTCTAGTGGGAGGTGTCCCTGCCCATGCAGGGGGGTTGGAACATTATAATCTTTAAGGTTCCATCCAACCCAAACTGTTTTATGATTCTATGACTGTGGAGTAATGCCAGGTCTCTTGGAGATTACAAGCATTTTTTTATGGTTTGGGCTTTTATTTGAGAGCAACCTTCTGACAAAGTAGGGTCATAGCTGGGGTGTGTGTTTTGGAGCCAGTGAATGCCAACAAGATGTAGGTGTGGGTGAGGAAGTGGGTGGCTGGCCTCAGGATTGCTTCATTGTAATTAGGATGCCATTGAAAACTGCTAGCTGTTTGCCTCTGGTGTTAGTCACTTGTGGCTTGTAGTGAATCCTGTATTCTGTGAAAAAGCCCACAGGAGACTGTTTCTACTGAGTCTTCTGGGCTACCTGACTGCTGCTTGGAGGAGGCAGCCAAGAGTGCTGTGAGCCCCAGGCCTCCCAGAACCAGTGAATTTTCTGTGAAGAGTGGTGCTGCTTTTAACATCCCTGTCTGAAATTGAGCCATGAGTCCCCAGGCAGCAGTGCTGCCCGTGGCTTTAGATTGAGTAGTGCTGCAGAGAGCCCAGGATGCAGCTGTGGCAGACATGGAGAATGATGGTAGATGATGGTACAGCCTTGAGATGTCCCTTGTGGTACCCATTGCCTCCATAGGAGCAGGGGAGAGTGCTGCCACGTGTCCTTGTGCTCTTACTGTCCTGCCACTTGGATTTCAGAGAAGACTGTGCTAGTTGTTAGCTTTCAGAAGGACTAAGGATCTCTCTAGCACCCCTGTTAGCACATGATTTCTTTGTGTCTTCTGGTAGAGTTGTGCATAGCTGTCTGTGCCTCAGGTACAGTGAGCTGTTCACAGTTTACCTGCTGCCAGAGTACTGACGAGGAAAAAAACCCAACATTCTGTAAATATGTGAACAATTTCTCTGTAGTATGTGAAGAGCTACATTTAACACTACTGTTAAATATGTAGTACCTGGATGAACTGTTAATCCAGTGTATGTTTGATGTTCCTCAAGTGTTGCTCTCCTCTGGAAGATGAACTTGTTTTTTCTTCCTTTTGAAAAACTGAGCTGCTCTGAGTTGGCTTTTACTCTAAAACACATCAACGCAAGCAGAGGAAATAATATTTTGTTGTAGGCAGGATTTCTGTTTTGCTTTGAAAGTACAGTAGTCACACTTGCTGAAAAAGACTTGTCAAGAAATCTAAGCAGGAAAATTCTGATACATCTACTTAATCTTAGGGTTGCTGTAGTCAAGAACAGCTCTGTGAATTAAATGTTCTTGAATGTATTTTATGTTTTATTTCAAGACGTGAGGGATCTTTATTGGGGGGTGGGGGTGGACTCAAGACCACACCTGAATGAAGCAAAAGAACCTTGAAAACCCAAGGCACATAATCTAAAAGGAATGTCAGGTTTATATCCCCCCACTGCTGGCACTTTGCAGGCAAACATGGCATAGAGTAAGATATTGCCTCAAAGAGATGGAGTTACAGTTATGCCATGTATATGCAATTAAAATATCCAAAACTGACTGTTGCAAGTGGAAACTGTGATTCTGAAGTTTATCTTGATGTGATTAAATTGATGTTTTTCAGCACTGTTTTGTTTGCCAACTAGCTTTGGCTGTTAGTGCATAGAAGTGTTTTTCGTAAATACTGGGTACACAGAAACAAAAGGGTTTTTTTTCCTGTTTGTTTTGATCCCTTAACAAATGATTTAACGTGACAAAGTTTACCAAGTTGCACTGCTTCCCCCTGCTGGAAACGGCGCTCTTCTTCCTGATGTCGTGGAGCACCTTCTTGCTTGCAGAAGCTTGTGGATTTACTGGTGAGTTGTTGGGATTCAAGCACATGGAGGAGAGAATTCCTGTCCATCTTAGCAGCCATTTTTTCTGTTTCTCACTAAAACTTTCTTATAAGAACCATGACGTTGGTATTTATAGTTTTCTTTAAGTTGTGTATAATCTCATTGAAGGCTCAGCTCACAGTATTACAAAGTCTTTTAAGAGCAATGATGTGGTTCCAACACCACCTCCCCAACCTGGAATCTAACTGACTTGAAAATAAGGTACATAAAATCTCAAGGGTAATGGATACATTTAGTGGAGCTTGGGAAGGGAAAATATGTTGAATCTCACAGTAAACAGGGTGGTTTTTACACGTGATTCTGCTAACAGGTGTGGTGGCTGTCCTCTTCTGTGGGATTACCCAGGCACATTATACCTACAATAACTTGTCAGTTGAATCAAGGAGTCGCACTAAGCAGGTAAGAGTGTCCTGCACCTTTTTACACAGAGCATTGTAGTAGTCCATGTACTGTTGTTTTTGAAAAGCATCTTTATTGCTAGATCTTTTAACATATGACTGTTTTCTTCATAGCTCTTTGAGGTATTGCACTTCCTGGCTGAGAACTTCATATTTTCTTATATGGGTTTGGCACTGTTCACTTTCCAAAAACACATATTCAGCCCAGTTTTCATCATTGGAGCTTTTGTATCCTTTTTTGCTTTGTGCGAAGTTTCTCTATTGTCTTATGTGCCTGAAAACTTGTAGTGTCTGTTGGCTTTGCCAAACAGAGAATGATGGCTGACCTGTTTCCCTGATGTCTTGCAGGCGCAATAACTTTGAGAAGGATCTTTGGTTACCTGAGACGTCAAGGCCCTAAGGTCTCTGTGCTACACAGTTGTTGGGTCTGTATGTGAGCAAGTGCTAGAAGTCATATAATAGACTAGATAAATAAATGAATATGCTTTATTGTCTGACTTGGCTATTGACAGTCAGCAGTGCTTGTGTTCCTCTTGTATTCAAACTTTGGAGGCCTAGAAGAGGATTCATTTTTCTGTTCATTTCCAACAGTCACTTACAAAAAGCGAACAAAGTTGAAGTGCAAAAGAGGGTTGTGAGTGAACAGATTATTTTTAAGCAGTGCCCCAAAGGTAGACGTTAGGATATGAGGTGAGGAGGCAGGAAGTGAGCTGTGCTGCAGACTGTGACATAAAGGGTACCCACTGCTAAAGGTGCAGGTGTTGGAGGTGGGTACCCATCTGACTTGGTACCTGACACTCAAATTTCCCAGAACTGAACGTTTTTATAGTAGTTGCACTCATGTAAACTGGAAACCACTGGCTTCTCCTCTGTACCCCACCCCTGTTGAACTGGCTACTTCTTCCCTGTGTTCCTGGCTGCTTGAAAACTCAGGGCAATTAAAAGTGTGCATAAAGCAATGGGAACTAGTCTTCCAGTCTTGATTTCTCTCTGCTTACTGCAGGAGTAGCGTTATCAGCAATGAGGATAAAGCCTACAAGATGCCCCAATCCAGAATGTACTTTTTGTTTTCCTTCTTTCTTCTATTTTTCCCATCTCTGTACTGCTTCTAGGGGTTTATTTCATTTGTCTTTTTCCTTTGGCCATTAATTATTTTTTTTTCAGAAACAGTAAAAAGCTTTCTCCTGTGTCTCCTCATGTCTGTTCTGACCTAAAAAAAATGCTCCAGAGCCCTGCAGCCATTAGGTAAAGACATGAACAGAATAGTTGCATTTGGTGTACTAAGCATTGTAATTTTTCATCTTTGCTGTGGCCCTGTGTCTGTCCTATCTCAGGTTACCCTATCTGACTTGGGTTTGTTTTCAGCATTTATTTTTTCTCTTCCTACCCGCCAATCTCATATTACATTTTCCACATCTTTTTCTACCACTGCACTTAACAACATCTATTGCCCCTTTAGTGCTTTTCTGCATTTGTGAGGAGGGCAGCCAGTACTAGCACCTGTTTTGCTTCTACAGCTGCTGTCCCTGTTAACACTTTGTGGGTGTGAAATACAGAGGCATCATTAGCTGTTGAAAGAAATGTTGTAGTACAAAGGCAGAGCTAAAGTCTCAGTGTCATTAACAAAATCCTAACCATTATTTGTACCTACATAGGTCATGATGGCTTGTGATGTCTGATTGCTGCAGTTCTGAGAAGGACTGCTGTGAAACTTGTCTGGAATAGTTACGTGAAGCTTTTTGTACAATGTAATGATAAAAATCTTATTTTCCTAGGGATTTCATTTCCTGCAGGCATTATTGCTTTACTTTAGCCATGGCAACAATCCAGTGGTGTCTAGAGTTCTTATATGGCTTTATATAATTTCTGTAAGAGAGCTGTTTAATTTTTCTAATGTTGTTGTCCCAGCAGCAAATGATCAGTGTTGGTGGGGTTCTGATTGTGTTGTTTTATAGAATTTCAGCACATCACTTTAGTTTTTCTGAAAGTGTTCCTCAGACAGTGGAGGGTGTATTCAGCTTTCTGCTTCTTCACTGCAACCACTGGGTGTTTCACACCACAATAAGGGAGGGAAGGGTCTTACTATCTACTGTCATGCCTTTCTGCAATACTCCTAATACTCTTTTTGAGATTCATTTTAGTGCTCACATGTGAGTTTTGGATTTATCATCTTTGACATCTTTTATCATCTTTTAACATCTTTGTAACTGTGTGCTTTGTCACTTATGTGCTTGCCAGCCAGTAGGGGGTTTTGGCTCTGCAGGAGCCATAAAGGAATGGCCACTTGCTGGTCTCATGTTGATTTTGCTTCTGTACATAGGACTGTGTTTCTGTTGATGTGAAGCACATAACTGAACGGTGGTAGTGATAGTTGTTTAAAGCACTATTTTTTTTTTAAAGGAAAGTCTTCATTTGTACAACTGGTGGTTTGAATTTGAGGTATAACTTCACTGTGCATTTAAAAACTTATATTAGTTATATTAGTTAAAATTGTCTTTCTTTGCAAAGAGTTCTTTATTCATATAATTGATGAGAGTCTGTTTCATGTGGACAGAGATAAGAACAGTTGATATCATGGTGTAAAAATATCACTAAAACAGATGCTTCATGTTAGAGCCAGATACCTAAGACTGCATACCTCAAGAAAGTGAAATCCTTAACCCTCAGCTATGAACAGATTGCAATCTTTTTGGGCAGAGCTGCACACATCTACCCTCTCTCCTTCTTGTTGAATCTGGGCAGAAGGCATAAGATCAGCTGGAACTTTCGGCACATGATGATGTTTTCAGGTAAAAGCAAGTATGTTTGGTAAAGCAAAAAAAAATATCTTATTTTTAACTCATAAGCAATTTGTAATACTACCTTCTGCTTATATGATCCACACCCATGCATCCTGAATAGAAGACTTACTGGTTGTTGCAGCATGTATCTTTGAACCTTTACAGAAAATGTGTCATGTCTGGGAAGAGTGACATCTTGAAATGCCAGCTGCTGGCAGCAAGCAGTGACCTCATGTTGGGAATAGAGTATTTTCATCTGAAGTGCATCTGAAGAGGGTGGGGGAATTGCAATGTATCTCTTCTAAAAGGTTGTTTCCAGCTGAGATGATACACACATTGTGCAGAAACTTACCTGCTGAGGGAATGGAGGCATATTTATGGGTGCCCTCTCCGACTTAGTTGGAGAAAGCAAGGTATTTGATTTAAACTCCCTTATGATTTTTGTCATGCAGATAACAGCTTAAGCTTGTAATTTAAAGCAAATCATGGAGTGTGTATCTAATCACTTGCAGCCTCGAGGAGTGCCAGGGGTGCCTCTGTACACAAGAGGATGTAAAGAAGAGGGAGCCAGACTAATTCCACTGGTGCCAGTGACAGGGCCAGAGGCAATAGGCACAAACTGAAACACAGGAGGCTTCTTCCTCTGAACATCAGGAAACGCTTTTACTGTGTCCTGGCACTGGCACAGTTTTCCCAGAGAGGTTGTGGCATCTCAACCCTTTGAGATATTCAAAAGCCATCTGTATGTGGTCCTGGGCAACCTACTCTAGGTGACCCTGCTTGAGCAGGAGAGTTGGACCAGTTGACTTCTAACGGTCCCTTCCAACCTTAACCATCCTGTGATTCCTTTGCTTAGTAAGTCTGCAGATGACCAAATGCCATGGCTTCTCCTTACTAGTGATGTTTCATAATCAGGGGCAGGGGAGAGGGGAAAATATTGTCTGCCTGTGAACATTTTATTAACTACAATATTTTTCCAGCTGATAACAGTTTCAAATAAAAACCTCAGGCTTCAGTTATGGAATCAACTAAAAAGGGTGCCTTTGAATTCAGGGACCTTCTTGATTTCCATAATGTTTTGCTGTTGACCACAACTTGGTTGTTTCTGTATTTCTTTCCCATCAGTTTCTGGAAATACTTAGACCTTTTATTAGCACTTGTGGATTCTGTAAGTCACAGAATCACAGTACCAGGGCTAATTACATTCTAAGGACATAATTTGTCAGGGAAATGGAGGGAACCAAAACTTGCTGGAGCCCAGTGCTATCTACCCATCACCTTGTGCTTGTGTGACAGGGAAGGAGAGCAAGGAGAGATGCTGTGTTACAAATAGGCATGGTTGCACTCCTGAAGCTCTGCTGTTTCCTTCTTTTGCATAGGTCTCCGGGGAGCCATGGCGTTTGCTCTGGCTATACGAGATACTGCTACCTACTCACATCAAATGATGTTCTCAACAACTCTCCTCATTGTCTTTTTCACCGTGTGGATTGTTGGTGGAGGCACAACACCCATGCTGTCATGGCTGAACATCAGGTCTGTACACAACTGTATGCTGGGGTAGCTTCACTTTTCAAGTGGCAACTGTGCTAATGGGGCACAGTCCAACAGAATTTGTTTGATGCTTGATAGAGGTGTTTTAGGTATTTAGAACATTGTTTTATAGAGGAAGGTGCTAGTGAAGAAAATGTATTGATGGTGCTGGGATTCAGCCAAGAACTCTTGGATGCTTTGCACGTAGGCATCTAGGTCCTTGTCAGCCCAGTAGGATACAGAATTGTGTTGCCTGATACAGCAGCCTCTATATAGAAAAGAAAGAAAAAGTCTATTAGACACATACAAACTTCTCTTCTTGCTATACTAAAACATTCTCCTGTCTTTGCATTCTTAGTAATGGCCCTGTTTTGTTTTTTTTTAAGTTAAATGTAGTCTTTAGTGGGTGGTGCATGAATGCACTTTAAACATCTGTCCAAACAAACCTGTTGTTGTGTAATAGTGGCATAAATGGGATCCTGCTAGTCTTCTGTTTGTTGCCTCCTGTTTTGAGACATGTGGAAATGGTAAGTGTGATGATTTGTCTGTAAATCCTGGCCAGTACTTAGTACTTTTGGGGCTGCAAGTGCATTTTTGTTTGAGGATACTTATTAACAGAAGTGCTACAATATTGTGACTCAGTGGTTGTTACAGACCACATTATCATTCTGTGAAGTTTTGGCAGTATGGAGGCACAGGTAAATAAGAGTGGGATTAAAACAATACCTGCTCTACAAACCCTTCCGAGTGTTTTTCGTGTATAAATTATTTGTGCTCTTTGGCACTTGAAACCTTACTTTGTCTTGTTTTCTAATTGTACTAACCAGAATTTGTATCCCATTGTCTTGTGGTAGGATGGGAAAAAAAATCTCAGTTAAAACCAGCTTTGGTCTTTAAAAAAACTGATAATTCTTAGGGACTGGTGCTGCTCTTGGAAAATATAAGTGAACTATTTGTAGCCATACGTAGCAGGTGCTTTCTAGGTTGCCAAAAAAAGTTACAATTAACAGGACTCACAGAAATGCTTGTAAACTCTTCTCATTGAAGGTAGATAGACAGGCATTTCAGCATTGATTTACAGTATCTCAGCTCTGACCAACAGCAGACATGGGGAAATCAACAAAACCAATTCCAGTGCAGCTGTGCCATTAATGATTGTGAGGTAGCACTTACTAATGATATTTCTAAGCTCGATCTGGCTGGTTTCTCTTGCCACGTAAGAGCTGTGTAATGACTTTAAAAAAGTACCTGCTGTGTGCAGCTTTCCATTTGGCACCTCTCACAAGAGAAGGAGGTTTCTGTCCAGTGATGGTATATAAGGAACAACTGTACTGACAGACCTCTGCAAGCAGGGCAGGCAGTGTCTGTGGAACAGGCTGTGTGCATAGACTGTCTGAGACATGGAGTACCAGGGAGCTGGAGATGAGTTCTGGACAGCAGTACATGGGTAAGAATGCTGCTTGCAGTCTACTTGCCATGGCTGAGTGAAGTCTGTCAAGATCTGCCTGTAGCCTCTGTTAGGCAAATGTGAGGATATCCCTTAGCTGATCTCCACTTGAGTAGATTCCAAAGCATCTTCTGAAGTATGGCTGCAACCAGGTCAACAAAACTGACTCTTAACAGCTCTCACCATAGGTGCTGGCATCTTGAGCCCTCTGCCCTGCTGTCTGCACCTCTTGTTCAGAGACCATAGCTGGGTGTTTCCTTCAAACCTTGTGATCCAGCAAGGCACAGGATGCGTTGCTGACCAGCCAAGTGACAATTAATTGTGTTCAGTCTGTATCAGAAGGTAGCCTCTGAGTGCAGGCAACCATTTCCTCTGCCACAGGGCATCAGCGTTAGAGCATTAGGAGAGAGCTGAATTCTAGTATGTGTCCCAGCTCCTGGCCAACTAGAAACTAGTTTTGAGGTAGCAGGTTATTTGGTGGTTTCTATCTCACTGAGCCTGGGAAGCAGTTTGTGGAAGCATCTAAGAACGTGGACCTGTTGTTTAGCAGAACTAATCTGGTTCAGTAATGAGACTCCATGAGCCTGGCTGAGGAGTTGCTCCTGAAGTCTCCATTCCAGGCTTGTCCTTCAGGTAGGCTATATTTGCAGAAATCATTCATGTGGTAAACAAGGCAGGACAGCTGGAAAAGCCCTGGTACTATTCTTAGAGTACTAGCTGCCAAAGTAGTTTTGAGTGGTTTACCCACTCTTGCTAGTAAGCAGTAATTTTAATTGTCATTTGTTTGACGTGGTTGACAGAAGATAAATTGTTAACTTCCCTAGCAAGGGAAGGATATACTGCAAACAAGAGAGCCTTACACAGGAAGTATTTCAGAGAACTGCACAGAGTCTGCCTGCAGCTGCCTCCACAGTCGCTGCTGTGTTGATGATGGAGACTGCACTTTCTGAGACCTCCTGAGATCAGACTTGTGCCAGGAGGTGGCAGCCGTGTTCTGTCTGACTGTACAGATTTAAGAAAAGGGACACATGAACTTACAGCTGAATTTTAGGAATATGCTGCTTTTTCGCATTTCCTCCTTCGTACCCAGTGGAAGAGGTAGGAGATGAAGCTGAGGTGCTGTCCCAGTGCCTCACCCAGCATCACAGTGTGTGTTGCTGCTGCACTCCTGGGCCTGTTGCAGTAGGTAGCTTGTCCCTGGGGTGGCCTGGGGTGCTTTCTGAGGCTTGGTACTTGCCCATTAGTTTAAATACCAAGATGCTGAAAGTAAGTAGTGCTCACATACAGGATTACTTAGCAGAAAAGAGGCTAAAAGATAGAAGGTGGTTTGCTTCCTAGGTTCAGTGAAGGGGCTAGGAAATTAGTGCCGTGTGTGTTGGACATAAATGTCAGGATTTGTGTGGACTCCTAGAAGTCCAGCTCTGATGTGAAGTTCACACCAGTTGTATCCTGCTTGACTTTCACCTTTGTGGAAAGAAAGATGGAAAGCCAGTCACCCATTACAAAGTCCTCCTCAGATAGTTGACCTTGCTGTAGTGTGGAGGTGGGGAGAAGACAAGGAGCCTGTATTAATGAAGAGTTGACCAAGCTGACTGACGCTTTTAGCTTTTAGGCCCATCAGTGGGATTTCAACACAATGCAAAGGGTCTCACTTAAGGTTGTGCCTGCATGATTTATCTAGAGCAGTACCAGAGAGCTGACTTCAGCCAGGGCTTTCAGCCTGGCTTGGTACCACTACATTAATGGAGAGCAGCACCCTCACAAGGCTCCAGAATTGCTTTGCTGTGGCTTAGTGGCAGAGGCATATGCCTCTGACCACACCATCAATTGCATAGCAATTGGGATGCATGCTTTGTTCTTCACTTTTGGTGGTCCCTTCCCTCCCATGGTGTGATGAGGGATGGAGAGGCTAACAGGAAAATTAAGTTTTAATAAAGTAAAAAGTTGTATAAGGAGGAGAACAGGCAAAATGCCCTCTGACTCATCTTGCTCTGTTTTAAATATCTCAAGTAATCAGAAGAGCAGGTATCTTTCCAGAGAGGGTGTGTTACCAGTGTACCAGGATCTATGGTTTGTAGCAGAGAATTTAGTTTACTGCTTAACTGGTTGGGAAAACAAGTTTTATAACAGCAAAATCTGGGTAAAAAATAATTACTACTTTGGGTGCTTTTGGTTTCTGCCACTTGATGATGAGCAAGTTGGAAATGAACACCAGAAACTGGAGTTAAAGCCCTGGTGTCATGTGTTTGAATTTCTTGGCTGTCTATCTGTGAGACACATCCAAGCATGTGAGTGGTAAACAGTTACACTATCCTACCAGTAGATTATTTTTTTCTTAGAAAGCAAGGCATGACTTGGATACAAAAACTACAGTCCCATCCTTTGAGACTAAGGCAAATAAAAAATTTCCTGTCTGAAATTTTAACAAGTTCAGCAAACTTGAGAGCCCTGTAAATCAAATCCACTGGCACAGTTCCTCTTTTCTGAAGAATAGCTGATTTACTGCTTCGTTTATCTGCCACAGGAGGAAAAGGGAAATTCTAGCATTTGTATTGCAAATTCATGTTATTTCCATTTTTTGTTAGAGGTCGTTGACCTGGTTCTTTTCCTGTTGAATGAAGCAACACAGATTAATGCCTCCCTTTCCTTCATAATCTGTTTCAAATGAGGAAGTTTGTTTATTTTAATAAAGTAATTTCAGTTATACTTAACTGCCTTTTTCTAAACCTTAAAACATTCTGTCTTTTAATTTAAAATACTTTAGGTATCTTTCTACCATAAAGTGAAAGATTGCACAATGTCAACTTAGATATTTACTGCCTTTTATCTGACTTTGCAAATGGAGTCTTTTAAAGAGCTTTCTATCGAGTGATTTTTTTATTTCCCTCATCCTTTCCCCTTTAATGAAAAAACTGAAAATAAAATCTGGAAACATTTAACTTTCTACATAACTGCTGCGTGAACTACCTATCTGAGATGGTGATAAAACTGACAGCTTGGTGGCAGTCTCAGGTTATACTCTGTTACCTCACTGGGGTGGTCCAGCCTTAACATGTGCATTTCTTAAATGCCATGTCTCAGTGATCTGCGATGGGAGGAGGCTGGTGTTGATGCTGGGATCCAGCCTTGTGTTATGTTCTGGACTGGAGTGGGGAATGTCTGGTAGGAGGTTACATCCTCCTGCCTCGCAGCCTGTTTGTGTTATTCTGCGGTTTAGATCCTTCACTGCTTTCTAGCTGTTCTCTCCTGCCCTTGAAAGGTAGATGCAGAGACACAGGCACTGTCCTCTGTCGGGGGCTTCTTGTTTTCACCATATCTTGTTCTGTGGTTTTCTCCAGTCATCTTTTGCTATCTAGTTTCTTCCATCTTCCTCCTTCTTTTCCAATCTGTATTTTTCTCATCATCAGTCCTGAGTATCTCTGAGCTTCCAGCCTTACCCCTCTGGATCTTTCCCTTGGTAGGAAAGAGATTGTCTCTTCTTTTACGTGTCTGGAAGTAAGTGTGGGAGATGCTTTTTGCCTCTTCTGCTCTGAAACAGCAATTAACACCAGAGAGA